GCACCAAAAAATAGTACCGAAAACAGTTTCTGCCCGAACCCCGGAGGCCCTGGTTTAATTGCTACGATTTTTTGAAACTTTGGGTTTTGATGGTTTACGACTAAAGGGGGGACCACATGGATTTTTTCGGAATTTACCAAAAAAATTTCGAGAAATTCATCACGCACTTCGATCTGGAGCTGAAAGAGCACCAACAATAGTACCGAAAACAGTTTCTTCCAATGCCCCGGAGGCCCTGGTTTAATTGCTAGGATTTTTTGAATGTTGCAACTAGGCAGCCCTCGTCGACCAGGCCTTCCAAGCCCGATTCCGCAAGAAATCGACCGTGCGAAATCGCTGTGATGTGTGCACCTGAAAGAGCACCAAAAATAGTACCGAAAACAGTTTCTTCCAATGCCCCGGAGGCCCTGGTTTAATTGCTACGATTTTTTGAAACTTTGGGTTTTGATGGTTTACGACTAAAGGGGGGACCACATGGATTTTTTCGGAATTTACCAAAAAAATTTCGAGAAATTCATCACGCACTTCGATGTGGAGCTGAAACAGCACCAAAAATAGTACTGAAAACAGTTTCTTCCAAAGCCCCGGAGGCCCTGGTTTAATTGCTACGATTTTTTGAAACTTTGGGTTTTGATGGTTTACGACTAAAGGGGGGACCACATGGATTTTTTCGGAATTTACCAAAAAAATTTCGAGAAATTCATCACGCACTTCGATGTGGAGCTGAAACAGCACCAACAATAGTACCGAAAACAGTTTCGCCCGAACCCCGGAGGCCCTGGTTTAATTGCTACGATTTTTTGAAACTTTTGGTTTTGATGGTTTACGACTATAGGGGGGACCACATGGATTTTTTCGGAATTTACCAAAAAAATTTCGAGAAATTCATCACGCACTTCGATCTGGAGCTGAAAGAGCACCAACAATAGTACCGAAAACAGTTTCGCCCGAACCCCGGAGGCCCTGGTTTAATTGCTACGATTTTTTGAAACTTTTGGTTTTGATGGTTTACGACTATAGGGGGGACCACATGGATTTTTCGGAATTTACCAAAAAATTTCGAGAAATTCATCACGCACTTCGATGTGGAGCTGAAACAGCACCAAAAATAGTACCGAAAACAGTTTCGCCCGAACCCCGGAGGCCCTGGTTTAATTGCTACGATTTTTTGAAACTTTGGGTTTTGATGGTTTACGACTAAAGGGGGACCACATGGATTTTTTCGGAATTTACCAAAAAAATTTCGAGAAATTCATCACGCACTTCGATCTGGAGCTGAAAGAGCACCAACAATAGTACCGAAAACAGTTTCTTCCAATGCCCCGGAGGCCCTGGTTTAATTGCTAGGATTTTTTGAATGTTGCAACTAGGCAGCCCTCGTCGACCAGGCCTTCCAAGCCCGATTCCGCAAGAAATCGACCGTGCGAAATCGCTGTGATGTGTGCACCTGAAAGAGCACCAAAAATAGTACCGAAAACAGTTTCTTCCAATGCCCCGGAGGCCCTGGTTTAATTGCTACGATTTTTTGAAACTTTGGGTTTTGATGGTTTACGACTAAAGGGGGGACCACATGGATTTTTTCGGAATTTACCAAAAAAATTTCGAGAAATTCATCACGCACTTCGATGTGGAGCTGAAACAGCACCAAAAATAGTACTGAAAACAGTTTCTTCCGAAGCCCCGGAGGCCCTGGTTTAATTGCTACGATTTTTTGAAACTTTTGGTTTTGATGGTTTACGACTAAAGGGGGGACCACATGGATTTTTTCGGAATTTACCAAAAAATTTCGAGAAATTCATCACGCACTTCGATGTGGAGCTGAAAAAGCACCAAAAATAATACCGAAAACAGTTTCTTCCGAAGCCCCGGAGGCCCTGATTTAATTGCTAGGATTTTTTGAAACTTTTGGTTTTGATGGTTTACGACTAAAGGGGGGAGCACATAGATTTTTTCAAAAACGGGCCGCGCGCTTCCGATCAATGTAAGCAGACCATTCGAAGCGCTTTGAAACGCTGATTCCGGGTTGCTAACTGGCTCGGCCGTCACATCGCTCCTTGGCGCAACCGCAGCTCGAAGACCCCTAATCCTCAATTGAGCCAAATCGGGAGTTTCCGCATTCCGGACGCTATTTCGTAGCGGAATCGCAGGGCGCACTTCACTGCTTGCTTCGCACCCGCCCCCCACCTGGCCCACTGGTGTGGAGGGGGTTCCCAAAGCTTTCCACTGAGTAGGCCAACGATTGACCCTCAGTTTAGGCTTAGGCTTAGGCTTAGGCTTAGGCTTAGGCTTAGGCTTAGGCTTAGGCTTAGGCTTAGGCTTAGGCTTAGGCTTAGACTTAGGCTTAGGCTTAGGCTTAGGCTTAGGCTTAGGCTTAGGCTTAGGCTTAGGTTAGGCTTAGGTTAGGCTTAGGCTTAGGCTTAGGCTTAGGCTTAGGACGAGCCCCCGGACTGGTATGCTTTTTTGGGCCAGCCGGATTTGTTGGGGCATTTTTTCTCGGCGCGTTGCACCGCTAGATACTTGGTTGTTGATTTTTGTTGGATCGGGCTACGAAGTTAGCCGTCCATAGCAGCCCTAGCCTAAGCACTACACCGAGAGATTTCCGGAACAGCGCCGGCTACCTTAGTTAGAATAGGGTGGTGGTCCCCAGGAGGTGTCGTTGTTGCTGATGCTCCTCCCTCAACCTTCCCTCCCGTACGTGGTGTAGCTCTAGCATCTACCTGTGCTGCGATCTGCTGAGACCCGGCCTTGAATGCGACCTTTTTTACGACGAATTTCGCAATCATATCGACCCCCCCTAGATCAGCCAGATATATCTGTGAGCGTATTTTTTGCTACCGAAAACGGTATCTTCCGAGACCCCGGAGGCCCTGGTTTAATTGCTAGGATTTTTTGAATGTTGCAACTAGGCAGCCCTCGTCGACCAGGCCTACCAAGCCCGATTCCGCAAGAAATCGACCGTGCGAAATCGCTTTGATGTGTGCACCTGAAAGAGCACCAAAAATAGTACCGAAAACCGTTTCTTCCGAAGCCCCGGGGGCCCTGGTTTAATTGCTAGGATTTTTTGAATGGTGCAACTAGGCAGCCCTCGTCGACCAGGCCTTCCAAGCCCGATTCCGCAAGAAATCGATCGTGCGAAATCGCTTTGATGTGTGCACCTGAAAGAGCACCAAAAATAGTACCAAAAACCGTTTCTATCGAAGCCCCGGAGGCCCTGGTTTAATTGCTACGATTTTTTGAAACTTTTGGTTTTGATGGTTTACGACTAAAGGGGGGACCACATGGATCTTTCGGAATTTACCAAAAAAATTTCGAGAAATTCATCACGCACTGGATGTGGAGCTCAAAAAGCACCAAAAATAGTACCGAAAACAGTTACTTCCGAAGCCCCGGAGGCCCTGGTTTAATTGCTACGATTTTTTGAAACTTTTGGTTTTGATGGTTTACGACTAAAGGGGGGACCACATGGATTTTTTCGGAATTTACCAAAAAAATTTCGAGAAATTCATCACGCACTTCGATGTGGAGCTGAAACAGCACCAAAAATAGTACTGAAAACAGTTTCTTCCGAAGCCCCGGAGGCCCTGGTTTAATTGCTACGATTTTTTGAAACTTTTGGTTTTGATCGTTTACGACCAAAGGGGGGACCACATGGATTTTTTCGGAATTTACCAAAAAAATTTCGAGAAATTCATCACGCACTTCGATGTGGAGCTGAAACAGCACCAAAAATAGTACCGAAAACAGTTTCGCCCGAACCCCGGAGGCCCTGGTTTAATTGCTACGATTTTTTGAATCTTTTGGTTTTGATGGTTTACGACTATAGGGGGGACCACATGGATTTTTTCGGAATTTACCAAAAAAATTTCGAGAAATTCATCACGCACTTCGATCTGGAGCTGAAAGAGCACCAACAATAGTACCGAAAACAGTTTCTTCCGAAGCCCCGGAGGCCCTGATTTAATTGCTAGGATTTTTTGAAACTTTTGGTTTTGATGGTTTACGACTAAAGGGGGGAGCACATAGATTTTTTCAAAAACGGGCCGCGCGCTTCCGATCAATGTAAGCAGACCATTCGAAGCGCTTTGAAACGCTGATTCCGGGTTGCTAACTGGCTCGGCCGTCACATCGCTCCTTGGCGCAACCGCAGCTCGAAGACCCCTAATCCTCAATTGAGCCAAATCGGGAGTTTCCGCATTCCGGACGCTATTTCGTAGCGGAATCGCAGGGCGCACTTCACTGCTTGCTTCGCACCCGCCCCCCACCTGGCCCACTGGTGTGGAGGGGGTTCCCAAAGCTTTCCACTGAGTAGGCCAACGATTGACCCTCAGTTTAGGCTTAGGCTTAGGCTTAGGCTTAGGCTTAGGCTTAGGCTTAGGCTTAGGCTTAGGCTTAGGCTTAGGCTTAGGTTAGGCTTAGGCTTAGGCTTAGGCTTAGGCTTAGGCTTAGGCTTAGGCTTAGGCTTAGGCTTAGGCTTAGGGTTAGGATTAGACTAAGACTTAGGTTTTGGTTTAGGCTAAGGCTAAGGCTTTGGCTTTGGCTTTGGCTTAAGCCTATGCTTCTGACATAACGTATACCAATGTCATTTAAGTAAGTACTCGAGGCTTAGGCTTAGAATTAGGCTATGTTTAGGCTTAGGCTTAGGCTTAGGCTTAGGCTTAGGCTAGGTTAGGTCGAGGCTTAGCTTAGGCTTCAATTTACACGAAATACAAATGACACCAACATAAAATATACCAAGTAATGATAAAAACTTTATTTTGCACAATAATCCGATGTTGGTGAAGCAGGAAAAGATAGTATTTCCGGGGATAAACATCTTGTTTTCGGGAGTTGAAAGAATTCTGGAAAAGCTCAAGGGAACAGAGGATAAGCCTAGAGAAGCAGAGAGACTAAGAAAACTACAGCAGCGCATGTACCGGGCAGTCGATGGGGAAATTCGAGGAGGGGAGGGGTGGTAAGATGCAGAAATGATGGAAAAAATTGTGGGGGTTGTTGGTGCTCTATTCTTCTTCCTCTTCCTCCTCTTCTTCGGCCTAAATCGAATATTTTTTACAAGTTTTAGGTTAAAGCTCAATTTTTAGGTTTGGCCTTGCGGAAAATTCGCTTTTTTATTGGCCTTAATTGTACCAAATCAAAAAACTTCAATTAGGCTACACACTACAAACTATAAAATCGAGAATCTATCGTCGTTGTGACGCCTTTTTCCATTGAATTATCTCCGATTTAATTCTAACTGATGGCCAATACCGCACACAAGCTACACGCTAAAAACTTTGTAAATTATAAAGTCGGTGGGGCAATCAAAAGCTTTGAAATTTTTTATTAATTCTTACAGGGTGTCCCAAAAAACGAACCATCTGGCATTTTGCCGTGTTACATCCAATCGGTCCCATATTTGGACCAGAGGTGTTGCAGATCCTAAATAACAACAATCCTGACTTACAGCCCCATAGCTACAGTAGTTTTAGCGATAGCGAGCGTTTTAACGAAAATACTGTTTTTCTCAGAATTCTGAACAGTTTTATTGGCTATCTTTTTGGACTTTGCATCGATTTGCATCGACTTCCGGCTGCGAATCCCTAATTTCGCTTAAGATCTTGGGTAATTTTGCGTTGTAAAAATCGCTTAAATCGAAGCTTATTTAATTAATTTTATTCTGGAAAAATTTCTTAAGGTAAAGAAACCCTACTGGATCATTTCCACTTAATGTTTAAGGGGTCTAATTCCACGAAAACCCTATGAAAAATGGAAAATAATGTTTGTTTTTGCTATAACTCGAGAACTACTATAGCTACGGGGCTATAAATCAGGATTGTTGTTATTTAGGGTTTGATACACCTCTGGTCCAAATTTGGGGCCGATTGGATGGAAGACGGCGAAATGCCAGATGGTTCGTTTTTTTGGGACACCCTGTATATGCTGTTAGTCGTGATTCTCAAGATAGAAAAGTGCCGGAAAGCGCTTGTAAATCGTGAATTTAGAAAGCTCACCATCATGTTAAGAGTAGTAAGCTTTTAATAGTAAAGTGTGCTCCGAAAAAACGTGTCAGATCCGCGAAATTAGTTGTAAGCTAATTCGTAAATTTAGTAAGCTCACGCCCACCTTCAAAACCCGTGATTTAATAAAAACAGTGTTGTTATGAAAACCCGGAAATCGAAAACCGTAAGTCTCAAAATCGCCTTGAAGCTAAGCGTTAGGAACCTCCGGCTCGGCGGCAGGTTCGGGCTCGGCTTCGGGCTCCGGCTCGGGCTCGGCCTCAGGTTCTGGCTCGGGCTCGGGCTCCGCAGCGGGCTCAGGCGCGGCAGCCGGCGTCGGGTCGACCTACAGGACAGTGAAAGGCGACAGATCAAAGAACAGCATAGAAATCCAAACATTTTTGGGGTTAGCTTACGTCCTGAGGTGCACTCTCGTTTTCTAGGGCTCCTTGGCTGGGGACTCCGAGCATGTTGGCGGCTCCTCCGGCTGAGGGGAAATCGTAGACGGGCTTCACCGGCTCCATTGGGATTGAATCCTAAAAACGGGAAAAACGAAATTAAGTTTTTTTTAATTAAATGACCCAACCGTTGAAACAGGAGTAAAAGTTAAATTTCGTTTTCAGGCCTAGAACTCGCCAAATTTTCAGTCAAAGCGGAAATGGGAATGTGACTTTCTTAAACGTGTTTCAAGGTAGAATTCGTACATAACGTTTTCGCCCTCCCCCCTCCCCGACAATGGATTTTCTAATGAGCGTTGAAAATTCAAGGAAGGGACGGGAATTCCCAATTCTTGAAAGTGCTGTTGCCCCGCGGCTTGTCTAAGGCTAATGTCTAGTTTCTAGGACAAAATATACTCGAAAACACAAAAAAAACTCGCATCAAAGTCCTCGGTCGGCATCTGGAGTGGGATGGCTGCAACCGGGGGCTTGGCCGCGTCACCCTCGGCCTTGACCTGCTCGATGTACTTCGGGGGCTCGACAATCTGTCAAAAAATCTGATTAAAATTTGCCAATAGTGTTCTCCACCTTCCTGAGCTGCTCCAACTCCTCGTTATCCTTGCGGCCCCACTCGGGCGGGGGTCGGGCGGTGCCTCGGGCGATGGACCGGGCCTTGGGGAGGATGGGGCTCTCGAAGATGTCGCGCTTGTCGCCGTATGTTCGTCGGTCGGTCTGAATTCGTTCGAATTGGCCAAGAACCCTAGAACCCCGTCGCTTCCTCAAGAGTCTCTGCTAGCCTGCCCTCTCCTTTTCCTAAGCCTAAGCCTAAGCCCTAAGCCTAAGCCTAAGCCAATCAATGCCGGCTTACCTGCCGGTCAAACTTGGAGGCGACGCGCTTCTTCGGGGGGTGTTTCGAGTTGGCGGCCTCCTCAGGGTCGAGCCCGTTCTTCAGAGCACGCTGGCGGGCACCCTGAAAATCAAAATTTGTAGCCTGTAATTTAGTTTATTACAGTATAAGTTCAGCTACAAAGTGCAAACCTGTCGCTCGCGCTCGTGCAACTCCTTGAGATCATATTCCTGGCGCTCGTTGCGCTTCTCCAGGTCGTACCTGAAATTTCTCGCTACTAAAATTTTAAGATTTTGCACTACAGCAGAAATCCGACGGCACAAAATCCAGTGCTGTCCTTCCCCATCAAAAATCAGAGCTGATCTTACTTCTCCGCCTCCAATCGGCAAATCCTCGCGTGAACCTGCTTGATCTTCTCCTTCAGGTCGTTGGGCAACAGGCCGGAGACGTCGATTTGCTTGCAGACAGCCTCGAGGAACGCCTGGAATGATATTTATAAGGCGGGGTTAGCCAACGCTGAAGCCTAAGGCTAAGCCTAACCCCAGCTTAAGCTAGATTGAGCTTGGCCCTCACCCTCTTGGCGGCCTCCCTCTGCTCGGCCGACACCTCGTGGGCTTTCTGTTTGTTGCCGGCCAGGTTTCCGAACTGCTCGGCCTGCTCGCCCTAAAAGAGGCCTTTTTTTCAGGCTACACCAACTTACGCTCGAGCTGATGGTGAAGTTCTTGCCACCGGGGGCAGCCGCTGCGGCAGCCGCATTGAACGAGCCGGCCATCATCTGCTGACGGCGCTGCTTCTCCTCGTAGCGGGCGCGCTTTTGGGCTTCGATCTGAAGGAGGACAGTATTGGATTGCATCGGAATAGCGACATTCGAAATGCCAACACTCCAACGCCGGCAGGCTAAAATTCCGACAGCGAACAGGTCAATTTGCGTCCAAAACATTTCGAAATTTCTATTTTCGATATTTTAATTGTCAATATTTTCATTTTTTCTTTTCGGAGTTTGGAATGTCGCCTGACCTTCTGCTTGCGCTCCTCCTCCTCTTGGCGCTTCTTCTGCTCGGCGGTGCGGCGGCGCTCCTCGTACTCCGCCTCCTCCTTTTGGCGCTCACGACTGAACGCACCGTTGTTCTATAGCATTCAGCGGCAAAATCGTACCGACGAATTTCCTGCTTCTCCTTCAGCTCGCGGAGCTCGGTCTCGTACTGCGCCTTCTCGACTTTCCTGCGCTCCTCGTAGTCGAGCATCTGAAAATTTGCGCTGAAACCGAGGTGGCAAGAAAACCTTGAGCTTCTCCTCCTCCTCATGGCGCTTTTTGGCAGCGACCATGGCCCTCTCGGCCTCAGTCATCTCCGTCGGCTCAGGAGTTCGAGTACGCGGGGCGTGCGAAGCCCTAAAGATCAGGAGGTCGGGAACGGTAGAGCTACTTACTTCGGTGCTGGAGCTGCTTCTGCTTCACCTCCAGCCTCCTCTGCTTCTTCAGTTTCTTCAGCTTCCTCGGCCTCGGGTTCCTCGGCGGCCCTATACTTGCGGTATGCAAAAATAAGTTTCTATACTGACTCCTCAGCCGGAGCAGCTTCCTCGGCGGGAGCATCGGCGGCTTGGACCTCCTCCTCGTCCTCCTCTTCTTCTTCTTCCTCCTCCTCGTCGTCGCTAAAATAAAAATTGCTCTTGCGACAGTGCCAAAGTAAACAGATTCAAAACTGTAGCAACTGACAGGTGCTCGTCCTCCTCGGTGTACTCGAACTCCTCCTTTTTCACCATTTTACCTGAAATTTGGGATTAGGCTGTTTGGAGATTTTTTCGGAATGACAAATAAAATAAAGCTGCAAAAATCGTGATTTATAAAAGGAAAAAATTTTTACTGCAATGGCAGTTGTGGAAAGAACTTTTTGTAAGAGAGAAAAGAAAATGCCAAAAACGAGCTAGAGAGAGAGCGAGAGAGAGTGAGAGAGAGGGAGCGAGTAAGAGAGAGCGAGAGTGTGAAAGGGAGATAGAGAGAGAGCACACCAGCGAGGAAAATAGAGATATAGCGAGAACAAGAAAGCGATTTTCTCGACAAACGAAAATTTGGTTGCACAAAACGTAGAATCCGGGTCAGATAAGAATTTTATAATTTGAAGCGACACTAACAATTTTGAATTTTATGCTAAATTCGAAAAAGGTCATTTGAGTCAAAAACCATTCTCCACTAACCGCTACGAGCCTAAATCGAAGAAAGAGCGCATGAACGTCAAGCTACCGTAACCCGCAAGCCAAAATATCAGCTGATCGCCGCAACCCCCAGTCAATTAATCAGGGTTCTGCGGTTTCTATGGGCCCCCGGGGGCCGATCGGTGGTGATGGGCAACCGAACCGAGCATGCGGCAATAGAGGGACCCCATTTTTTGAGGCCCGCGTCGAAAAGGGGAAGAGGGCTGTAACCAAAAGCCTCAGCACGCGGTTCAGCCACACAGCCACACAGACCCCTCAACTCCCCTCCTCCGCAAAAGCCCGGCGGCCCCGGGCTTGTCCGTCAGCGAGTCGGGATCCTTTTCTTGCGTTTACTGCTTATTACTCTGTATGCCTGGGGTGCAGGAGAGGGAGGGGATATCCGAGAGGGTCGGCTGGAGGGGTTGAGCATGAGCCGGCTCTGTGAGGTCGAGAGGGGAGGATGAGGACAATGGGGTCGTTGAAAACGGGGTCTTAAAGGAATCGATTATTGGGGTGGGAAAGATGGGCTAAAAATAGATCCATGAAAGGGACAAGTAAGTCATGCATATGTGTTTGTTGGCTATCTAATCGGTCCCGGGAGCGACATAAAATGCGCAGATTCTCCCTCTTCCTGCGCTGCTGACGGCGGCGATGCTATGCGTATCTTCCGGTCCCTACGGAATCCACCGCTAAAAGCCATACCTTGCTCGGCCCTTTAAAGTGATTGAGAAGCCACGATTATAGGACTGCATTCAGCGGATCCTCTATTCAATTGATCAGGGGGTTGACACCAGCTCCTTCAAGGCGCCGGATGCGTAGCGTGCCGCGGCATCAAAAAAATCCAGAAAAATCCATAGCCTTCAGTGTCCCTTTAGTTGTGTTTAGCGGTACTCTAATTTGTCCTTAATAAATTAACTGATACGTTTCCATTTAATGCCGCCAAGGCCTACTCTAACAGAGCCTACGCCAAAATACGCCCCCAAAAACCGAACGAACATCTCTGTCTGGAACGACGACGAACCAGACGGCCCCCTTTTTGAGCTGTCACCACAGCTATGAACTGGCGTCAGCTGTACTTGATTGGGAGCGAAAAGCCGAGAGCGGCCCGGAATGGTCGCCGCCAATCAGCCCCGGCATCCTGAAGTACGTGGGAAAAACGATGATCAATTAGAGGAAAGGGGATAACGACTGATGGTTGTGCAGGCATGGGAGCAAAGTTTGCGAGTTACCTTCCGGGATTAAAGTCGTAGCAATTTACAATGATTGCATGCAACAAAAAAGGTTTCTTGTTCAAAAGGGGAGCAACAGTCGTCGTGGTTGATTGCCGTGATTTTAGAATGAGGAAATAGGAATGAATTTAGGATAGAATGAATACTGTAGAAAATTTATGAATAACAGAACTCACGTTTGGGACTGGCGTAATAACCAGTCATCGTTTTCCAGAAAAAAAACAGCATTTGAAAGGAGCCCAAAAGATCGAGATTGACTTCTTGATCGAGGCTAGGTCTCGACAGATACCTGGCACGCTCAAAAAAAGCGCAAAATCCGGTAGAAATGCGCTTAAAAGCTACTCTTGGAATAGGGCATATCTGTTGGCGCCTTGGGTCACGAATACATAGTTTCTGGTTCTTCCCATCTTCTTTAAATCATAAAACTACAAGAAGTAAAGCGTGGAATTAAGCGGGCGCATTGACAGCAAGCCAAGCCCTCATCTACCACGCGATGACCCGGAGACCGTGTCACCAACCCTAAAGCCCCGACCCATAAATCGAATGAAAACAGCCCCTCCCGGTATCCCAGTCACAGCCTATCATTGGAGGAAGTCATTAATCTCGACGATTTGTCGCGTCAAAGGGCCCTCTCTCGGCTTTTGCCCCGGGCCCAGCCATTTTTCTCGCCTCGCAGGAGGAGGAGGTTCGCATTGTAAAGCCGCCGGGGGGGTTTGGTGCGTCTTTTTGTCTTGCCATCCATTTTTTCGACGCCTCATGTAGGCAGAGAGAGAGAGAGAGAGAGAGAGAGAGAGAGAGAAAGAGAGAAAGAGAGCGAGAGAGCGAGAGAGAGTGGGAGCAAGTAAGGAAGCTCACGCCGACGCTGGGGTCGAGTTGAAGGAGGTTGTTGATCAGCTAAAGGGAGCGTGCCAGCAAGCGAAGCATGCGCACACTCTTGAAAATACTATAGTTTTTAAAATAACCATTTTCTTTATTGATTTTCCAGCTCATCCTTCTCTTAACAGCAGGGCACCACGATTCTAAATGATTTTTTGGAATTTTTGTACCAAGAAAATGTAATATTTTGTTTTTCACGGCCAGTTCTACACCAATGACATGAAGACGTATAAAGGGCGCAAAAACGTCGTTATTTCTGTTTTTTTTTTGAACGGTTTGTCTGATTTCACGGTATGCTCCCCCATCCCGTTCGCCAAAAAAGCTCATGCTCATGCTCCTGAAAACAAGAATTTTCTTCCATTTTCAAACCTTTTATTCGACCATCAAATCCCAAAGCAATCACAATCATTGCGAGTAAGTGGGCCAATTACAAAAATCCATTTTGCACATAGGGCTGGGATCAAACCGGGGATATGGGGAAAGAGGAGCAGGGGGGGGGAAGCCTGGGAAACCCTACCACAAGCTGAGGTGAGACCGGGAGATGATATCGTCCAGGGGGGCCAGGGGGAAAAGTATTTGGCGGATCTTCTAGGGGAGAAGATGGGCAAAAACTTTTACAGTATACAAAGAAGCGACCAGGGGAATGGCCAACGTTGAGGAAGCAGAAAATCAGACATATTTTCGGGGGAAATATGGTCTTGTGGATTTTCTATCCTTGCTTCCTTCCCTGGGGCCCGGCGAGGAGGGCGGCCGGGGTTGGGGCGCCGGCGGCGACGTTCATCAGCCAGAAGGCCCAATCCTGGGGGCCGGTGGGCAGCCAGGTCAACGGGTTCCACCTGGAAAAGAGTGGTATATGCATATTAACAGAAGCTAAGCTAAACCAACGCCTAAGTCCAAGCCTACGCCCGACCCGAAGCCCAAGCCCAAAAACATTACCTAAGACTGATCTGAAGTGTACGCTCAAAACCAGGCCAAATCCTAAGCCTAAGCTACATCTTCATAAGCGTATGGCGACAAGTCCAAGTTATTCCAAAGCTTCAGCAGAAGGCTAAGTCTAAGCCCGACCTAAGCCTACGCCTGAGCCTAAGCCCAATCTAAGCCTATACCAAGTCGAGCCCATCCAGCCTCCTTTTTCCATCCCCATTTTTCTCTAAACTTCTAAACCGTGACAGATCTTCGCACAGATCTACACCCCAAACCGAGGTTTCAGTTTTTCGAAAATCCGCTCCTCACTAGCGGCCCGAAACGAGGAGTGACAGCTCGCTCAGTCGGTTAGTTGCCAATACCGTTCCCCAATTCGTTTTCTCAATTTTTGGACACTGACGAGAAGGAGTACGATTTGTGAAACGTGAAAAAGTCACGGTGCGCACGTGTCTAACGCAGTGTTGCGGAACATGCAAAAAAGGTTCTTACTGCACGTGTCTATCGGAATGTTGCGGAAAAATCGGGAGCGGGTAGGTGAAACTCACAAAAAGTTGGTGTCGATGCCGACCTTGTACCGGCGGCGCGTGTTCACCGAGGTGACGGCCTTGACGTAGATGTTCACGACTGCAAAAAAGGTTTTTCGACTAAATGGACAACGGTAGGCGACGCGGTACGCAACGCGCGCAGGACTTTTGTAGCGTTCACCGCAAGCTAACCGAATGCGTCGCGTGTCACGGCTAGGCTTTCACATACCCTTAAATTAAAAATAGTTTTTTAGTTTTTTTTATTGCGTTTTCGATGCTGGTAGAGTTTTATTTTCAACGTTCCCATTCCTATAATGAGGTTCCCGGTCCAGGCACGGCTCAAAAAAGCTCGCCGCGCTGCACATTTTTTGTGTTTTACCCACCGCGATCGGTGTGGTTGGCGCCGAGCCCGTTCATCATCATCGCCTGGTTTTCGCAGGCTGAAAAACGGAATTTTTGAGAGTTCTAAGTGGAAAGTACGCAAAACCCACTCTTTTTGAAAAATTCGTATCCATACTCGGCTTTTAGCTCGGGGCTGGCGCGTTCCCAAAGCTATAACGGAAGAATTAGTTGGTTAGAAACTAGGAAAACTAGCTATCTCTCTCGCTTTCTCTCTCTCACGTTCTCTCTCCCCCTTACATGTTCATTATTCTTCCGGATCCTCTCGGTGTCGGTGAGCGGCGTTTTGACGAACCCGGGCTCGATGTGGATCACCTCAACGCCCCAGATCGCCAGCTCCTTGCTGAAAAAGGAGCCATTCTTCGTCAAGTGTAATGTTATATACGCTATATGTTAAAATACGGCAATGTAATCTATGGAATTCGGTGTATCTCGTAGTGTCCATACCGGATCACCTCGGTGTAGACGTTGGCGGTGAACTTGGAGATGATGTAGGGGCCGATACCAGCGGCCGGACAGCGTCCAAGGATCGACGTCACGTTGATTAGACGGCCCCTAAAAATGTCATAACAAACCTGAACTCTTTGTTGTAATTTTTTACAGAGCAAAAAGTACGGAAACGGAATTTTCAATATTTTTTTTTTGTTTTTGCGAATCCTCAATTTTTCTGCCCGCTTCGCAACAGCGCGTGATCTGATTTGCTACAGATTTTCTTTGTTTCCCTAACAAGCGTGGGAACCAAGCATTTTCCCGGGCATTTTTTTTTGAAAACTATAATGGTGCAGAGCATTGTTGCCATCATTGTCCCACACCTACTCGAAAAAGACTTCCTAGTTCCCACGGGTCATACTTTTGTGCCTTTTAAAAAGACATAATTACTTCCTGATTGGCCAAAGTAAGGTCCAGGGAGCTGAGAAAGAGAGACAGAGAGAGAGAGAGAGAGAGAGAGAGAGAGAGAGAAAGAGAGAGAGAGAGAAAGAGAGAGAGAGAGAGAGAGAGAGATAAATCGACACCCACTTCCTTTGCTTCAGCGCCCTCCTCAGCCTATGCACGACGCGCATGATGCCGTAGAAGTTGATCTCCATCGTCAGCCGATAGTCCTCGTGCTTCAGGAAATCGTCGAGGAACACGTTGAACCCGACGCCGGCGTTGTTGATGACCGCCCAGAGCCCTGAGGTTGTTCAGTAAGCTCAGTGTTTCTCAAGTTTCATTACCTCCATACGGTTGCACCTCTTTCTCCAGCCATGTCCCCATCCGGTCGACGCTCTCGTCGTTGGTAACGTCGAGGCGGATCGCCTTGAATTTGCCCTTGGTGTAGTTGGAGGCCTCTTTCTCGATCTTTTCGAGACCCTAAAACGAATTTTTTTGAAAAAATTGTTAGCTCGATACCTCCTCGGTGTAGCAGCCGGCGAACACAGGCATGCCCATGCTCAACAGCTTGAGCGCGGCGTCGTGGCCGAAACCTGGAAAAGGTAGGCTTACAGGCTTCGTTAGGCTTGGACTTCGGCTTAAGATTATGCTAAGGCTTAGGATTAGGCTTGGATTTAAGCTTAACCTTCACCTACCAGAATCGCACCCGGTGATGAACACCGGCCGATTCGGTAGATCATCCAGCTTCTCCTCTTCCCACTTGATGCGCAGGAAGAAGAACGTCACCCAGGCGGCGACGGCGCCGAAGAAGATCAGGAAGAACATCTACAAAAGAAATGGGTTTTTTACAGAAAATGACAGTAGTAAAAGACGTTCCCGGCGGACCCTATGAACTCCCAGTTTTTGGCTGCTACGCGTTCCCACCCCGCTTTTTCACGACAAGTTTATGTACACAGTAGTAGGACAGGCGTAAAAACACACAATTTCTTGCCCGGCAAAATGTTGCCCACCTTTACGAGGGGCTGAAAACAACCAAAAATCTGGGCTTAAGTGCAGTTTACCCCCAGCCGGCACCCACCTACCGTATCTTAGCTCCCTGTTCATCCACAGGTGTGTAAAGTATACCAAAATGTTCGTCTTGCTCTGGCGAGTATTTTGGTAGATGAACAGGGAGCCGAGATACAAAAGTTGGGTGCCGGCTGGGGGGGCAAATTGCACTCTAACCAAAACTGGGACGCAAAAGTACCTGAAAGTTGTAATGGAGAAGGTTTGAAAAAAATGTTTTTCGCATTACTTTCTCTAGCACTACCACCGGATATGCAAATTAAGCTGTGAAACTATGCAAATTAGGCCAACATTTTAACGCCAAAAATTTCCTTACCGTTTTTCAACGCAGGAATGTGTAGACAAGGTTGAAGAGATGCGAGGCGGGCCTAAAAAAAACAAATGAAGAAACGCATTTTTAAAACAGAAATTACTAAGTGCTCAGAGCGAAATTTATGGTTGAAAAGTGCCAAATAAAAGTGAAATCTAGCTGATACCGTCTATTTTCTGATGCAGTACCCTTTCAAGGTACTGTAGTTTGCTTTTAGGAGCACGTTACTGTATGAAAAGAAGTGCGCAACCTAGGCTAGGCCTAAGCCAAAGCCTAAGCCTAAGCCGAAGCCCAACAAAACCGGCGCATCAATCAAACTTACAATTCGGGCCGGGGACCAAGTTCGGGCTAACCAAAGTGTGACTACCTGCGCGCATCGGGACCAACCGCCGTCGGATTTTTCTGGTGAAAAAGAGTGCGGAAAAGACGGTTTTTGGGTGGCGATGAGCCGGTGGTAACAAGCCCCCCGGTCGATCCGGATGGTTCAGCACTCGCTTTATTCCCCTGCACTTCTTTCTACTGTAAAAGTTTTGCCGGGTTTGGTTTCGGGTTTGCTACTCGACCGGGTTGGGTTGTAATTGGGCACGAATTGTTTAGTTTTGGAGTGGCGGGTAGGAAGGGATATATAAAACTCGCTAAATCGTAGAACTTTTCTAGAAAAGTTTGGGTGAAATAATGCCAGAATTCCGTTAAGGTACCCTCTAATACCGCAATTTAGTCAACGTTTCGAAAACGTTCCATTATTTAGCATAGAAAATTCGTACTTAATACCGTATCCTATCTAGAAATCTGCCATTTTAACATTCTGGGTTATGCCTGAAATTATTCGTTCGTTTATTCGGCAAATTCGGGTACCAATCAAATCGCCGAATCACGTTACCGTACCCTGTATTACCACAGTTTAATTAGAGGCTCTGGCGGGGTAGAGTAAAATTCGTACTTCACCTTAAAATTTATGTGGCGCCTTTGGAAACTCGGTAATTCATTCTGCAGAGAGAGGGAGAGAGAGAGAGAGAGAGAGAGAGAGAGACAGAGAGAGAGAGAGAGAGAGAGAGACAGAGAGAGAGAGAGAGAGAGAGAGAGAGAGAGAGTGAGAGAGACAGAGACAAAGACAGAGCGACAAGAAACTTTGAAAGCTATTCGGCACCAAGAATACCGTACCGTTCCAAAAATACCCCCTCCCGAGCCAGGGTCCGAGCCAAACCTAGCCCCATTCCCTCCCTTTAAATGCGATCGAAGGTCATTTTCCGAAAACATTTCTTTCATCCGTCAATGCCCGTTCGCCCCGTCAGTTTCCCAGGTTCTAAAGGAGATCAGACAGCCAGATTGAACCGAGATTGTTGCGCTCCCGACAACCAAAAACCCCTGGGTACCATCGTTTTTTGGGGGGTTTCACTCTTTCGACCGGAAACCGATTTTGTAGATACCACGAGGGAAGGAAACAAAAGAGTGATTGCCATCGAGGGCAAAGATTATTTATTGTTATTAGATATTATTTATTACTTGCTATATTTGTTCACTACGAGTTTCAGCGCGTTTTTGAGCCGGATCACGGTAGATTTAGTGCAAACCAACCGACCGAACGGGCTAATTGGTATCACTTTTTTTGAGCGAGCGCTGGTTAGATTCTATTGAACGGCATAAAAACACACAACAAAAAACCCACATTTTACAGCCTATAAAGAGGGTCTATAAAATCTATAAAAATCAAAAATCTACAAAAAGCAAAGTTCACTAGCCCAACTCCACCGCAGTGCTCGTAAATCTTTTTGATTTATCGGGAGCAGGGTTTTTTTGAAAATTGGCGGTCACCCAAAGCAATTACCAAGGCAGGAAAAACGGAATAAAAACTTTGAGCCTAATGACTTTTTGTTTGGATTTATTTATCGAAATCTCTAACGACTCCAGTTTTTTTTGCAAGACTCATAAAAGTATTGTAATTATGAAAACTAGCCATTAAAATGAGGATTTTTGAGTGCAAAACTGAACAGCGCCTGATTCTGAGTGATCTTCCCCCAATCTACCCTCTATTTATCACCGACCGCCGCCGCATCAGGTTTTTTGCAGGATTTCCTGAACCGAACGCTATCTGTTGACCCTGGCCAACAAGATGGTCTAATCTTACCTACCGCCGAACGGCTAGGGAACTGAATTGGAGTCGATTGGCAAACAAATCAAGCAAAAACAACTGAAAACCTATGCCTGAACGCCGAAACCAATGCATAATCCGGTCTGAAAACGAAATTGTGATGTGCTTGCTTATTTTTCTGGACTCGCTGCTATTTTTTTGCAATATATAGATTTATTCGACTTTTTGCGTGCAGGATAAGAAAGTGAGAAACGATACCGGCAAAGAACACAACCAGGAATGAGGTAAAATGAGATCAGATTGTAGCGAAGTTCTATAAAAAATGGATCGCTTAGAGGAAATACGGCTTCGGGTCGGTGAACTCTTCGTAGAGGTCGATATCGGTCAGCCACATCTCGTTGACCAGATTCGTGGATTTCGGGAAGTCTTTCTTGATTTTGGCGGCTCTGGAAAATAAGTTTGTTCTTGATAGTTCTAGACCATAAAAGAAAAGGTTTATAAAAACGTACTCATCCTTCTTGCAATACTGCGCGGGCACCACAATAAGTGTGGCCTTCTTGGCGCCGTCTTCATCAACGATTTCCGTCCCCCGTTCTTCAGCATATTTCCTAAAAGAAAAGTTTTTGAACTATTGACAAGAAAACCCACATCAATGCAGCAAGTTTTGACTCCGAAAACAGGTCCTTCTCGTAGAGGTGAACGGTTTCTGATTTTCCATAAACCTTTGCCGTTGGTTTTACTAAAAATTGAATTTTCAGACTCGTTTGAGAGTTTACCTCTAACTGGCGACGCTTCTTTTTTAGCTTTCTTAGGCGCCGGAGATTTCGATCGCTCCTTTATTTGAACGGGCTTCTTTCTTTTGACGACAATCGCTTCCTCCTCCTCTTCTTCTTCTTCCTCCTCTTCAGATCCAGATTCCTCTGATCCTTCCGCTTCTTCATCACTTCCTGAAACACTGGTTATACTTTTTGCTCTAAATATTTACCATCTTCTTCCTCCTCAGCGTCTTCCGAATCAAAAGCATCTTCGCTTGAATCGTCCTCCGACGAGATATCGGACTCTTCCTCGTCAGATTCAATCTGAAACACACAAAATATCGGGTTTTTGCGGAAAAACATACCACATTCGCGACTTTCACCTTTGCGCGGACACTGCGACGACCGCCGCCGCTGCTTTCGGCCTGAAAAATATCTTCCAAAATTTGGGTTAATTACCTTGCGACGATACGTGTAGACGTAGGTGGGGATGCCAAACGCCGGGCCGTATTCATCAACGAGTTGCGCGAATTCTAAAAGAGGTTTTAATTAATATTTTAAGCTTTACGAACCGTCATCCAGCCTCGACACATGGTAGCTGCACTTAATCGCCTTGTCTTTCATGTTGAACGTGAGATTTTGGAAGCATTTTCGGAGGGTGGGGTGATCGACTTCGTCTACAAAACTCACACTAGAAAATAATATGTTTCACTTACCACGTGCATCTTCTTTCTGGGCGATCAAAAGTGCAACGGTAATGTTATGGCCGTTCGAGTCGGGCACTTCCGTATCGATAAGATGAACGTCTCCATAATGCAGATCCTGAAAAGAAAATCAGATTTTTATAGCCAAAAAAATCACTTTACAGTTTGCTGGACAAAATGAGCTCACCTTCATTTTTGCGATTCGCTCATATCGACTCGGGACAGCCGGAAATTTCTTCCGAATGGCCTCGAAAACGCCGCCATGCCCGTATTCACCTAAGACCTTTATTTATCCGAGTTTTTATGCACTGACCGCTATCATCCACAATTTGGAGAATGATTTTCTCCGAGCTTTTATCGTCTCTTGAAGTAATCGGTTCTGTGACATCGCCTCGCACGTCTTCCGCCTAATTTTTCGAAATTAAGAATATATCAATGCTCGTACCTCAGCGCCGCGATCTTCTGCTTCTGGCTTGTCTTCTACCGATTTCAAGGAACGGGAGACGTAACCTGAAAGACAACTTACAAATTTTTAAAGTTTAAAAGCGTACCATTAGCTTTCCAGTTTTCATACAGCGCTTTCCGGCGTGTTTGCTTCATTGTAGGGTGAGAATTTTCTTCGTCCGAGCCAGAATGGGCGCCGCTTTCGCCTTTGTAGTTGAAAACGTCCATCACGACCAGTTTTGCCTGTCAATTAATAAATTGATTAATAAAAAAACGGAAAAATTATTATAAAACTGCCAAATCGCAATAGTAGAATCATTTTGGCGCCTTTTCGGGTATTTCGAAAGGCGCTAGAGAGATAGGGCATGTGGACTAAACATAAATAGAGGCCTCTTGGAGGCGTCTCTCGACAGGTTTTGCCAAGTCCAGCCCGCAAAGAGGGAGAAAGGGAAAGAACAAGCCCACAAAACAAGCTTTGGATTTTTTTGAGAAAAAAGATGACTGATCAGACAAAGTATTGTGCAACAGACAAAAATGAAAAACTGGAACCATAGTGTAGGCAGAAAATCAATTTTTTGACTTAGCCGAAGTTTTAAAGCTCAAGTTTACGTCTTTCGTTCAAAAAATAGGCTCTTTGTCGATATTGGTAGGTTTTTTTAGTTTGCGATTACTTTCCGATTATAAGAAACGATAATAAAGGAACAAAATTATTAAAATTCTTGAAAATTCAAAATGAAAACTTTGCAAGGGCGTGTTGTACTGTTACAAGTGTCGCATTTGTAACGTTGTTTCCAAAAAAAGTAAGGCAATTAGTAAAGTTCGAGGTGGGGAGGTGGGGAGGTGGGAGGTGGGGAGGCGGGGAGGTGGGGAGGTGGGGAGGTCTCGGGGAGGTCTCGGGGAGGTGGTTTTGAAAATAACCGTTTTTTGGCGCGTTTCGTACTAATTAATGTTCGTAATCGATTTATAAATGTTTATTGGTGTTTTCTGAACATTATTAGAAGGTTTTGGTAAAATATTTTTTTATTATTAGGTTAGATTAAGGCAAAAAGGGAAATCCTTGTAAAGAGCTGGGAAATTGAAGAAAATACATCGATTTCACGCTGTTTCTTTACAATATATTATAAAATTATAATGATGTGTTGCATGACAGGTTTTTTAATGCCTAAGGAATAACTTCTAGCCTTTATAAGTTACCTAGTAGGAAAATAACTAATAATCTTCTATTTTGCGTGTTTTTACTCGTTTATCTTCGTCTTCATAATAATTCCTTCTTCCGGTTCCTTTTTCATCCTTCTTCTCTCTGATAACTACATTAACTATATTAACTTTACTTACCTTCTGCTAAATTAAAAGCTCCGCAGGCTTTTAATTATTTATTTTTACCAGTTTACAGGCTTTACTATGTGTTAGTTGTGTTACTGGACTGGACGTTTTTAAAATAAGCCTCTTGCAAAGATCAGTTAAGCCTAAGCCTGGGCTTAGCTTCACATAAACGAATTGTAAGGCTAGTTGCGCCAAGCTAAGTCTTTTTAACCATTCTTTTTTCTATAAGTCAAAAACATTTGGATGAGCAAAAAAAACTACAAATAAAAGTGAGACGAACAAAGGCAACGCATTTTAATCGTTGCTCTGATACTAAAATCAGTCCTAAAACTAAAGAATCTTGAAATAATGCGCAACTAATCTATAGTATCAAACACACGTTAACAATTTTAGATGGATCAAAGGGTTTTAGTTTTTTGGTTATATCTAAAGCTAGAGAGCCTGTAAACCATTGCAAATAGAGAATTCAGAAGAACGAGAGTAAAAGAAGGAAGAATCGAGAAAGCCTGTGGAGCTTTAAATTTAATTAAAGGTAGATAAAGTAGTATTAATGGTAAGTAAAGCTAATGAATGTAAGAAAACAGAACCACGAAGCGCAAGAAAGAAGAGCGAATTATTAGGAACATAGAAATAAACTATTGAAAACAAATAAAAGATATAATTAATAGTTATTTTCTTACTAGCTAACCTATAGGAAGAAGTTATGTAGCTATAGAAGTCATGTCCAAGCGCTGTATAGTAGCAAAAACCTGGCAAAAGTAATAATGATTATAATTTTATAATATATTGTAAAGAAACAGCGTGAAATCGATGTATTTTCTTCAATTTCCCAGCTCTTTACAAGGATTTCCCTTTTTGCCTTAATCTAACCTAATAATAAAAAAATATTTTACCAAAACCCTCTAATAATGTGCAGAAAACACCAATAAACATTTATAAATCGATTACGAACATTAATTAGTACGAAACGCGCCAAAAAACGGTTATTTTCAAAACCACCTCCCCGAGACCTCCCCACCTCCCCACCTCCCCGCCTCCCCACCTCCCACCTCCCCACCTCCCCACCTCGAACTTTACTAATTGCCAAAAAGTAAGGCCCGAGACTGATCCCTATGCTTTGTTGACCTTTTGTTTCAGTTATGCCATTTTGGCGGTAAACTATCTGGGTTCCGCAAAGGTACACTTTGCATTTGGGCACTGCGGAGGCGCCTCAACCAATTTACCCCCCCTGACCATCGAACAAATTTTTCGTTTTGTGCTCTCGTGCCTGATCGCCCGATCGCCACTTGAACCCAGGCTTTCCCTATATTGATTACTGAAAATCGCCATTTTCAAATTGTACCAACTTTTCAGAACCCCTGCTTTGAAAATGGCCGCACTTTTGGCTGGGAAGTTTGGCGTTGTTACAGGTATTTACTTTTTGGAAAAAATATTTTTTGTTTTTGGGCGGAGGCTCCGGCATCGGGAGGGCAATCTGCAAGCGTTTAGCCGATCAAGGCGCAAGGCTTATCGTTGTGGACAGGTTTGATACATCGTTTTTCAATGGTTTTTCCAATTTAGACACGAAGAATCGGCCGCCACCACCGTTGCTCAACTTGGAGGAAGCGGGCACCTGTCCTATGTCGGGGATGTTAGTAAGGTAAGTCTAGAATTTTATGAAATAGAGACCGTTTGTTTTTCTGAACATAATTTCAGGCGGCCGATGTCGAGCAGTTGCGCAAATTTGCCGTAGAAAAGCTGAAGAACGCCCCAAATGTGGTCGTAAATTGCGCCGGAATTACGAGGGACGCCACTTTGCTCAAGATGTCCGAGCAGTCGTTTGATGAAGTGATCGCCGTAAATTTGAAGGGCGTTCATTTGGTAGGAAAACTAAAAAAAGCATTCACTTTGTATTTTTAGGTAACGCAAGCATTCGCCCGCGAAGCTGTCGCAAATAAAGCGCCACTTTCCATCATCAACGTGTCCAGTATTATTGGAAAGGTATAGGTGCATCCTTTATCACTATTAAAAAGCGGGTTAATGTTTGTATTGATTTTAGACCGATTTCCAATTCAGGTCGGCAACTTTGGGCAAACGAACTACGCAGCAACCAAGGCGGGCGTGATCGCGTTTACAAAGAGTGCCGCAAAAGAGCTGGCGAAAAAGGTTTTATCGCAAAAGATATCGATGATATCCTTAAATTCAAGAAAATTCGCGTGAACACCATCCTTCCCGGCTTCGTCGAGACCCCTATGACGAAAGCTATGCCGGAAGACGTGCTGAAGTCGATTTGCGCTGGGATTCCGATGGGCAGAATGGGTGAGTTATTTAGAAAAAAGCGCTTAAACGGTTATATCAATCGAATAAAATTCAATAAACCAATTTCCAGGGCATACTGAAGAAATCGCTGATGGTGTGCTCTTCTTGGCCTCCGATCTGTCCTCCTACGTCACCGGCGCTCAGCTGGAGATCACCGGCGGGCTTTACATGTGAAAAGGTTTTTTTAGGTGCTTATCGTTTCGTTTTTGGCTACTTTCTTTGTAATTAGGCTATACAGATTATCTACTGCTTTTACGCATTGTTGACGTTACCAGATTTTAATCAAATTTTTTAGTTTTGACTTGTACATGTGATTCGCTTTGTGTGCCTTGACTTGATGCCCCGATAAAGTATTAGAAAGTGACGTCCGGATTTTCAACACACATCATAGAACCAAACTAGATCAGGCAGCTAAATCAGACGAAAATAACACTAAAATGAATCGCCTCGCGGCCGGAAATGAAATTTCAAGTTTAATTTGTTGCCCTGGGTGGAGGGTGAGCACGTACTCGCTGTATCAGATGCGATTAGGTGCATTATTCGGGTTATTCACTGCCAGCTCATGGGCGGAACTTATTCGATATTATCACGTCGGCAAAATTTATCGATAAAAAGCGGTGAGTCACGTACTTTTAATTGAAAAATAGAAACAGCGTCATTGCAAAAGTGTACTTTGCTCGAGCAAAGTGATCACGACATGTTTTCTACCACTAAGTAATAGGTAAAAGCAAATAAACCTTTGTTGTGTCCTTGAAGTGGGTGAAGTGCTTGATGGAATGTAGTTGAAGTATCGAATAAACAAAAGATGTTTATTCGACAAGCAGCAGACGAGGATAAAATTCGGAGTGATAAAAATGGGCGATTTCCCGGGGAGAGCGGGGGCCTTACGACACGAAATGGGGGGCGCCGTGGCGGGACCACAGGCTACGATCACAAGGGCACGCGATAGGGGGAGGCGACTAGAGTCTAGCCTTTCGCTCCACAACACCTCCCTCCTTTTAGGGAAGATTGAAAGTCGGCACATGACCAGACTGGAGGTGTGTGAGGAATGAAAAACCGAATGTGGGTACAGCATAAAAGTATCGTGAAAAGATTACACAGAATTTACATAGCAACGCGAAAAGAAAAATGCTTCTTTCATTCGTTTAGCTTAATTCTTGCGTAGGCTGAACACGGGCACCATCACATCGGAGCACGCATCTTGCGCTGGGGCTCGGGCAACTTGTCGGCATTTGGCAACGGCAGTGGCGGCGATCCCTCCTTCTCTTCCTCGAAAGATCCTTGACACATTGACGACTTGTCGGGCTTGCGGAGCTGATTGATGTAGCGCGTCCGTAGCAGTCCATTTTCCAACTTGACAGTGTAGAGGAATTTGGAGTCCTTGTGTAGAATTCTTGCGGGCGTCCAGGTAGATTTATCCCTGCGCCATTCCTTAGCGTAAACGTGTTCACCTGGTGAGAAACAACGTTGTCTTGCTGGGCGGCGTCGGTGGGCAGTCCTCACGACCAGTGCGGCGGGGCTTGGGGCACGCAGCGAGCGCATTGGTGGCTTCATTTGTAGCTTGCGTCCCATGAATTCAAATGGCGGATTTTCATTCGACGGTTCGGGCTTGAGCAGTGCACGGAATGCATCCATTGCATCCGTATTCTTCAGCCAGTCGAGGCCGAGAAGGGTGTGGCCATCGATGACGTGTCCAACACCGATCATCTCCTTCTTGTCGATGACGTACTTGCTCTCGAATGTCCCATGAACCTTGATGTCCCGTCCATTTGCGGCCTTCATCTTGAGTGACGTTGGCTTGAGCGCGGGCTTGCCGATCTTGACCCAGTCCTTCTTGTCGAGGAGAGTTACGTCGGCGCCCGTGTCAACACGCATCTTCAGCGGGTGCCCGTCGATCGCCACATCATGGTATAAACGATCGATGTCGTGGTCCGAAAAATTTGAACCTACAAAAACGACATTTTCTTCCGCGGGCGGTTGAACTTGGACTGGGCATTCATTATCCCAGTGTGCACCTTCACAATGTCGACATGGCCTTGTACGCTTCTTGCGGCGGCTCATCGTAGATTGCGCGGTAGTCGGGCTTTTTGGAATTTGGGGCGGCCTTGTTGAAACGGCATGCACCTCCATTGGCAACTTGGTGTCCAGGTTGGCGTCCTTCTTTCTTGATACGAAGTGGCGAATGTGCGCGAAAACTTCGTCCAGCGTAGAGTCCGGCTTTTCCTCCATTTTGCGAAGGATCTGGCTTCGTGTCACTTCATGTTCAGCACCGGGCAGCGAGAGCAGTAGAGAAAGGGCCTTCTGTTCGTGCTCCTTGATCTCGCGCATCTTCGCCTTCTCGTATGCGAACTTCAGTTGGTCCACGTGCTTGGCCAGCTCTTCCACGTCACCGCCCTGGAATTTCAATTTAGAAAATTCATAGCGAAGGGCAAAAAGTGACTTGGATGGCACGAAGATCCTCAGCAAAGTGTCCACGATCTCGGCGTATTTCAGCTCGTGCGCGGCCTTCGGCAGGATAAACTTCGTGAATCGCTCGTAGGCGGTGTCCTCCAATTTCTCGATCAGCATCCGGCTTCGGTCCTCTTCGGAAAACTCGGCACCGTCCTTCACGAAAACTTCGCCATACCGGGCATACCATAGCTCGAACGTTGAGCGGTCCTCGTCAAAGCAAAATTTCGGCACTCGGGCCAGAATGGAGTCCCTCAGCGTTTGAAGACGAACCTTGTTTGCGGCTTCTCCATCGGCGGGCTCTTGCTTGACTTGACTCATCCACGCGGCCATTTGTTCGGTGATCAGCTTCATTTGCAGTTCGTGGGCCTGTTTGTCTTGCTCACGCTGCTCCCGGTGACGCTCCTCATCTTGGGCACGCTGCTCACGATGACGTTCTTCCATTGCGGTCAGAACGTTTTGCAGAACTTGTTCCATTTGGGCTTCTTCTTCCTTCAGTTTCGTAGACTTCGACCTTGTGACGGGGGCCAGCTTCTTGTTGGTGTCCCTTCTTGCGTAAGTGTCGAATCACCTGCTCGCCAATTGTTGTGTCCTTGAAGTGGGTGAAGTGCTTGATGGAATGTAGTTGAAGTATCGAATAAACAAAAGATGTTTATTCGACAAGCAGCAGACGAGGATAAAATTCGGAGTGATAAAAATGGGCGATTTCCCGGGGAGAGCGGGGGCCTTACGACACGAAATGGGGGCGCCGTGGCGGGACCACAGGCTACGATCACAAGGGCACGCGATAGGGGAGGCGACTAGAGTCTAGCCTTTCGCTCCACAACA